TGAAAGCTCCAAGAAGAGGGGCCTAGTGGTCGAGTATTACCTGGTGAGAGAAACGCTGATATGGTACACTGTACCCAAAGGTCCATCGTCTTCCTACGAGTGTTGACTAATCTTCAAAAGAAGAGTGTCTCTGTCGCTGAAGCTGCAGTGCAGTACCCTCAATGAGACCAGTTGGGCTAAAGAAGGTTCTGCCAACTGCCTGGGTTGATTGCTTATCAAGAGCAGACGGGACGAGGGCTGGAGGTCCAGAATTAGTCCGATGGTGCTTGTTGTCCTCTAGCTTAACATCGGGAGAAGTAGGTGCCTGATGGAAGGTGTGGCTGATTGTGACGGAGATGCCATATATTAGAAGATAATGAAGCGATACGGTCGGTTACTACTCACATACCAGTTGTTTCAGATACTCACTTGAAATCTAGTTTGTTTAAATCAGTCAATGTGGATCACAGGAATGACACTCTGATAGACCTGGACTAAAATCCGAAAAAAAAACTACTATAGGGATAGGTCGTTTCCAGTTATGAAACACAGCTCTGAAACTGACGGTGCGAGAACAGTCAGCACTTAAACTCAGACAGCTATAGATGAAATTTAGGAGAGTACTTAGACAGTGTCCTTTGAAGGTCGGAGACGTGACTACCTTCAAGACCTGTCAGAAGGTGTTGGTTGTTATATCCTCCCCGACTAATAAGTTCAAAGGCATCATGCCCTGTACTTGGGAGCATGACGATACAATGATCAATACGGCTCTGTCTTTACAGTGCTTCGAGAAGTCATTACTCAGTCCTAAATGTTGTTTATGCGTCTTGTTTGGATATATCGGTGGACTGTGTGGCTGGGCAATATCTTGATTCATCTCCTTGATCCGCACTAAAAGAGTCCATATCCAGAGATCGTCTGATCGTTGCACAGGATCCTGGGGAAAATAAAAGAAATGAAACAAATAAGAAACCCATCTTGATCGATATTTCCTCATTTGATGATGGACATTGGTAGGAACACAGTTGATGGAAGGCAGTTGAGGGACATTTCTCTATTCGAAATGCTAACAGGAGAGAGATCCCAGAGTACTTATTATATTGGAATGGTTTTTCCTAACCCCCAATTGGGGATTGGATCTAATCCTGCTGGTTCGAGAAATGAAGCAACGGAGGATGAAGGACGGAATAGTCTAAGTCCATCCATGTACCTAGAGGTGATCAAAAGTCAGATCAACGGAGCGAGTGAAATAGTGAGTGCTACCAGAGCCGGCCACTACATGTGTTATGTGCACAAATGTTCTTAGGCGTATAAAAATAGGTCTGTTTTCCTTCAGTTGATGGCACAGGTAGTCTAATATAGTGAAGACCGGCATACGAACTACGCAGAAGCCTTTTTTTTTTCTTTTTTCTTTTTTTTTCTTCTTTTGTAGTCCAATGGGAATCTTGTGTCTCGTAGTCTTTCTGGCCGGTTGAACCTCTGGTTGCTTACAAAAAGAACTATAAGATGTGCGTAATGGAATGATATCAACTTATCATGAGCCTTTCCCACACTGTACCTCGACAACAAGACTTCTTCCGTGGTATGGAAAGTGGTAATCAGTTACTTTGCGCTCTGTAGAGGTAGCTGACAGGTCCTCCCTGGCTGCTTCTATGCAAGATCACTCACTACCAGCGACGGGAGTCTAACGAGATATGTTGCTTGTATCACGTCCCTTCTTATTCAGTCAACCACCCTGTCGCCTCACGCCTCTGGGCTTTTCAATCCAATGGACACCAACACAAAACAACAAACCACGTACTACACGGTGCTGTACGATCACCGCCAGAATCTAGGTACAGGCAGTCAACGACCGCCCTGTTTACTGCAATCCAACGGTTGAAGAGTAACAGAAAAGCATTCGTTTTGAGATGTTGCTAGCTCTCGCATTGGCTTTTAGACACTCGCGAACGTTGACGCTGTTGATCTACAGCCGTTAGATTCAGTTGCCGTCAGCCCTGACCACATCAGATACATTCACCGGGTCGGATGCGATTCGGGTTTTGATCAAACTTTGTCCAGACGTTGCCATATGTGTCCGTTGACCAAAGCCTAAGTTGCCATATGTGTCCGTTGACCAAAGCCTAATCGAGACGCGAATTGTGATAACACTCGTCTGAATGGGGGAATGGCTCCGTTGAATGCGTAGGTACACCTGGACAGAATAAGCAAAGAAGAACGAAAGGAAGCGAAAAGGGTTAGCTAGTTGCGACAAACATCAACTTGCTTCCGATAACCACATCAGGTTTGAATCTGATCAAGTATCAAGTGAAAGGGCTGATTGTCATGAGTTGCTGCTTCATGTTGTGTAGTACAACCTCAGCAAACATCATCAGCGAGCATTTCTTCATTGGCTTCGGATTAGGCACGTAGCCATCGGTTTCAGACAAACTAACTTACTAAGATGTACGGGATCAATGGGTACTGCTGGTACGTTCTTGTCAGTGTTTGCTTACCTACTGTTCTCAACTACCTCCTGTGTTCTCCTCTGTGCAGCCGAGTTAGGTAATGTCAAACATGCGGGATTGGCTTCAAGTTGATGCGGGCCGTTGACCAACTCGGTCACCTACAGAGCTGTTACCTGACGGGAAGTAGTGCCCTGGTGTCAAACGGTGACATGAACGTTTGCGCGACTGGCTTGAAATCCCAAGAACTTGTTCGGTTCTTGTTGACGCCAAAACATCAACTTGGAACGTGAAGTGTAAATAGAGCGCCTCTGACGTATAGAGGAGGAGGAGGAGGTTGATCCCAATTAGAGTGTACCATAGTGTTGGTGTTAGGTCAAAGGTAGTTATATCCAGCTGCTGTTAGACATTGGTTAAGGCTACGCCGATTTTGCCTGTCTCTCAGTATCACCTGCCATCCCAAGCTTGGACAAGACACCGGCTTACTAACAGAATGATTTGAAGTCCCGGCAGCTCGGAGCGCTTGGCCAAAATCCACTGAATCTCGATCCCGTGACCTGATCAGAGCGGCAGACACGGCACATGCTCACAACACAACCAAACGTATGTACAACACAGAGCATCGAATCTGGGGACAAAAGGCACATGGCAACAACAGCTTGATAATCCATACCCGAGCTGCCAAGTCCATGGGATAGGATTTTCAGCTTGGTAAATGAAATGAGTTTTGAGCATTTTTGTTGGAAGTCCGTGTCCTGGGCCGTCCATTCACTGGCCTTGCCCATTCACTGGCACTCCCTTCCTGGGTATTTAGGCTGCCCTGGTTTCCGTTTTCCCTCTTTCGTTAGACAACTCCAGAATCAAGCCTTTTTCGTTGTCGCTTTTCCAGCCTCTAACAATTTTCCAGGACCCCTCTGCGAATGAAATTCTTGAGCTGTGGAATTCATGTTCATCGCGTGGTGGCGCGACCGTGCACCGCTACCGACATACTGACAAGTACACCATGATTTGCGACAACAAGAGAGCTACGCTAGGTACTGTAGCTGAGGTGCCTCCCTGGGGAGAGTTGACGGATGTGGATCCACACCGCATCAGGTTGCCCGGGTTGCGTTTAATTACTGCATCCACCAGTTGCTCCGCCCGTCCTCATAAACAACCCACGGGTTCGCTTTCGCTTGTGCTTCAAGCGAGCCGTGAATAGTCACAAAACACAACGAGGCATTTTTCAAGCACTACACTAGAGCTAGAATCCCTCAAAGAGTGACTTTTGGTAACAGATCCTCCTTATCCCTGGTTAACTCGGTAGACCTTTGTGGAGGTTTGCGTACCTTGTGTGCAATGCACGTGTAGTGTTTCTCGTTGCTCATCGCCATCAAAAGCGGTGATTTCTCAGTCAGCAGCTTCTCAGCAGAGCGAACTCGGCCGAACCGAGAACCTTGAGAGCCACCAACCAAAGCTAACGGGAAGCGAACCCGTGCACGACTCCCAGAAGTCGGTCTGACCCTTGACCTGTGGAGGAAAGTGTGGGCCTTGGAAGGAAAAGAAGCAAAAGAGAAGGGAAGGGCCGGGCGAATCAGAGGACTGACCCAAACGACACGAACCGCAGAGCGTTCTGTGCGCAGATCCGCAGAAAGAGCCCCGGGGACTGTAACCCGGCCGACTAACCGACCCCGACCTCCTCCCCGACCGACAACGACGCGGGATTTGCGCAGTTGCAGTGTAGTGTAGCAACTGGGAGAGCGACACTGCAGGCCATATGAACTGCATGTCAACAGGTCGGTGAGTGGATGACCCCCTCGAGGACCCCCCCTGGCAAGCCACCCTCTGAGTGGTTCAACTGGACTGGTTGAAGCCTGACAGTGGAGATAGATAATCAAGACTTGTGGTTGGTGAGCGAGGGCGCCTTGAGCCGGTTTGGGAAGGTGCTGTGGCTTTGGAGGTTGGCTCTGTGGTTCCTTGGTGTGCTGCGCATGCTGTTGAGACCGTGTGGTGTTTGCTGGATGTGCGAAGCATTCGACCGACTCTGACTTTCGTCTGGGAAGAGGTTCGTAGGCGGCTGGTAGGTTCCGGAGTTCAAGGACCCAAACTCATTTGAGTTGGTGGAGCGATGAACCCCTGTTTCTGGAAGCTCTCCCACTCTGCCCGTTCCTGAATATCCGTTGGTGAATCCATCTTCTGTAGCCCTGGCAGTTCGCGGTCGCCGCTCGGTCGACAGATCCCCTATCACGAGATTTTGACTTGTCCCGACTCAGATAAGAGCAAGGCGGAAATAGAGAGACCCGAGCTCCCGGATACCAGGGAAACGATTCACTTCATATAACCCATTGAGGCTGTGAAGCAACAAGTTGATCAATCAAAGGGGAGAGGGGCATCTGAATTGCGGACTCCGGTAGCTCCTCTTGCTTGCGGACCGCTTGTTTTGCTGCCGTCCTCTCTCAGAACATGTGAGGAAGAGAACCCTATGCAAGTCACTTGCCACTATACATACCGTAGTTTCGAGTTCAAAGCCTACCAAGTAGCAGCTGGGAGTTGCATCGTCGATGCAGTCTTTTACATTTCAAGCTGGAAGTCCGCCACTTATAGATCGCTCTCGAGTTTCTCCGGCCGTTTACGATCCACGGGTTTCTGTATTGTTTTTGGTGGTGCTGGTCACCGCTCCTCAAGCATCCCATGCTCACTTTTTGCCCCTCGGCGCCGCGGAACAGTACCGGGCGGGATTCGGTTAGAAGAGCACCAACGGGGTTGCTGAGGACTTGCCGGTCTGCTCCAGTGTAGGTGAGTTCAGTTCCCACTTCTCGCAGCGGTGGTTGCGCGCTATCATGGACGCTACTGAGCGTCTGGGCCACGGAATGGAACCACGGACCAGCAGAAAGCCCGGTAGTATGGTCCGGGTTGCTGGTGCTTTTGTCTTTGGGTTGAAAGTTATGTGAGAGCTTGAGTGGTTTGGAGGAACCAATCCAATATGGCTGAAGCATGTTCGCCGGCCGAGCCATTAAAAGAGGGGACTCTGGCTGAAGAGGGAAAGGGGACCAGTGATCACAAACCAACATGTGCTCTGTGCGTCCTGAATCCCCACCATAGATCGCTGTCATGGTTGCCATGATTGTTTGTTGTTTATGATGTCTTTCTTTTATTTTTGCCGTGAGAATGTATGTTGGGTGAAACGTGATAAGGAATACTGAAACACTATAACCAATGCCTGCACACCTGGGCCTACATGGACGACGGTGATGCCGGGTGCAACTCCCACTGCGATCCATGGCCTCGTCCTGCAAAAGGGGACATGGATAGGGATGATATGATGGTTGCCCGTTGGTCAGGCCAGATAGCGTGGTCTGAGCAGTGTTCTGATGGATATGTGCGATATGTGAGCTCTCAGGTTCCAGGCCTCGGGGTTTTCGAGTCGGTGTCTCTTCTCCAAACCGTAGACCCGCATTCCGTCCGGGCGGCGACGGCCCGGAAGCCAGAACCAACAAGCGGCCGGACCGCCGTCAAGATCATGTAGTATTGATTGGCCGGTGGTTCGACCAGACTCGCAGAGTTTTCTACGGTCTGCACGCAGTGTGCAGCTGGTGCAGCAGCGAGCTTGAAGGCGGTCTGAAGGCGGTCAAGGTGTTTTGTTAAGAGTTTGGCTTGTGCGGCCCGCCCACGGCTAACACTTGAGCGGTCGTCTCCACCCTTCCCAACCTAATGCAGCTTGGGGAAGAGGGTCCATCTCTCCTCTCCTCTCCTCTCCCCGCCCCACAGCCGCCTGCCTCAGAGCGAGAACCACGCACGCAGACTGGTGGGTTGACGGGTGCTTTGGTGCGGTGACTGGCATCACGACGCTGCAGCTTCATTACTGGCAGCACCACAGAAGGGCTTTGGAAATGAGGAATGAGGCTGAATCAATCAATCAGAAGCCGGCCTTGGTCAGTGGGCGACCCCATTGAGCGGCGCCGTCCAAGCCCGTCCACTTTCTAGTCGGATGTCCTGCATGGGCTGCGAGTTGCGCGCTGCAGTTCATCGTTAGCTCTAGTGTGGTGTACGTACTGCTAGCTAGCTAAGTTATGTACATGGAGATGTGCGGCATACACCATGGTGAGATTCCACCTTGGGCTCAATTGGAAAAGGAGCCCAGAATAGATGATGGAAAGAGGAACAGCAGGAGGCAATCTCGTCACTTGAGCGCGCAGATCTCCTTTGACCTTTCACCTACATAGTAGGTAGCCCGTGCGGCGAGAGTCGAAGCCACTGCAGTGCACAAGTTCAGTTGCGCAGGCGAAATGAAATTGCAGAGCGAGACCGACAGAAAACTGGGTTTTCTCTGGGCATTGCCATTGGAACTGGGGCGGGCTGTGGCTTGCATAAACTCTTCATTTTACTTATTCAAGCACCTCTCCGATCCGCCCGCTACTACCACTCTGCCCACACACAGAGTACATCTTGACGGTATCGACCATCTGATCTTTCTCGTGCCGTGATACTGTACACTACACACGACACAAAGTCTGAGCAGCCCTATCCTGGTCACCGATCCCCCCTCCTCGCCATCCAAAGTGGAATTGGTCGAAGAGTTACCCCTCCTCCGCCTTTTCCATCGAGCGTCTGGTGCTGCATCTCATACCACAGATACCACCTTCGAAAAGGCGGAAGCAGTCTTCCTCGTCTGTTCCTTTCTCGCTAACCACTCGCTACTGCTGCGTCTGCGGAGTCCCGATGCATCCAAACTGGCGGTCTCGTCTCCCGCCCCGTCGTGAATGCTAGTGCCTGGTTAAGGACTAGGACTGTTTACTGCGGGCTTTGCTTAACTGGAATTTATCAGACGCTCACCCCGCTCGCGGCTCCCCTGACGCGCGCCTGACAAGGGACCAGGGCGGCGGGCAATAACTTGCGCTTCGAACCTTTCCGCTTTCACTCTCTTTCCACCAGACAGGGCCCGGGGAGAACAAACCCGACAGGGACTCTGGTTTTTTGCACCAGACAAGGGAAGGGCACTTGTCGAAGGGGGTGGTGCTTCCAGAGCGGACTTCCAAAGCGGACTAGGTCTTGTCCACCGCGTCCACCGCACCGCTGGGGACGTTCACTGGGTCCCAAATTGCAAGTGGTCCCAAACAAGGGCCAATTTCTCGTTTATATTTCCATCGCCGCCGGTCCCCCCCCCTCCAAGACGCCATCGTCGTCGGAAGCTACGGTGGTTGGACAGGAACTTCGGTGGCCGGTTGCGATCTTATCTTCCCCTCCTACCCTTCATCAAAGGTTCCTTCGATCTCAAGTTTCTTTCAATATCATCCCAACTTTTATAATACCCACCCTGCCCCGCGCCGGCTTCCGCGGCTAGTCCCCCCTCAGGATCCCTCAACTTGGAATCTTCCAGGTTATCCCACTCTGTAACCATGACGTCCTTCTCCCTCACGGGCGCCGCCCCCAACAAACTCACAAAGACCCGAGGCGCAAAGGTGGTCAAGCCAATTCTGAAAAAGCTGTCGTCTTCGCCAAAGAACTCGCTGGATTTGAACCGTGGATGGGATGAGCAGCCGGTGGATCAACTCGACATCGACAACGGAAACAACAGGAATAGCGTCAACTACAGGTCCGCAAAGGATGTCGGCTTTGGGTACGCCGGAGGTGTTGTAGCCGCAAAGGCAGACGAGGACAGTGTTGCCGACCTGGGTGCTACTGGAAACAGCGTTCGTGTCAAGTACCAGCACGCTCGCTCTGCTTCGCAAACATCGTCTGGCAGTGGCTCCCGAGCTTTCTGCCATCCTTTCCAGCAGACGCCGCGTACAGCTACCCCGCCGCTGTCGTATGCCCCTTCACTCGCCTCTTTCGATAACGGTCGTTACTCGCCTACCATTGCAGAGACAGAAGACGAGACGGCCACTGATTCACAGCAAGCGCAGCCGCAACCAACAAGTCACCCTATGCAGTCGCCTCCCCCTCCTCCTCCCGTCAGGTCCAACACCACCAACTGTCTGCGCCAAAGGCCATCCATCGCCAGCTCTCGCGCCAATTCCTATTCGGACGCCAACTCTGCCTCAAAGACCCTCCGCATCAACACTGGCCGATCAACCCCCACGGCCATCTCCTCCCACCCTGACGCACATGGCGTTGTTACTACCAGCCGCTCAGACGACCAGCTTGGCCAGAACGACTCCCCTACTGGCACTGTGGGCGGTGCTGCTTCCTCCACCCAGCAGCAGTCCACGGTTGTGTCCCCGACATCCTCGACTGGCACCCCAATGTCTCCCCTGCGCACCTCGCTCGATCTCACCTCGGGCTTCCCTCGTCTGCGCAGCCGTTCCACTGACATCGACTCTGCTGCCCGTCTTGAGAAGATTCGCAATGCGCGCCGCAAGTTCGAGGAGAAGGAGAGGGCCAACCAGGAAAAGTATGATCGTGAACTGATCAAGAAGCGCGAGCGCAAGGACACCAAGGAAGCGAGCCGCATCGAAAAGGAGTCTGCGAGAAAGAGCAGCCTTAGCGATCTTCCCAGGCCCTCCATGACCCGCAAGGCCACCGCAACTAGTATCGCAACGATTACCGGCCCTACCAGAACCGCTTCGGGATTCAGCTTCACCAAGCACGGCAGTGGCGGTTCTTCCAAGACGAGTCGCTCCAAGGGCGATGTCACTGCTTCCTCGTTCTGGGATCGGTCTTCCACTATCGGCCCGGCTACCAACCCTACGAGCGGCGACAATTCGCAACCCGAAATGTCTGAGAAGCATGGTCTTGGCTTCGCCAGCCGCAAGTACGAAAGCGTACCGGCTGACCAGGCTGCTCCCCCGGCTTTCATCGCCAACCCCGTGGATCATGTCAAGTTCGAGCAGACTCGCCGCCGGTCTAGCGGACCCAAAAGGAAGACCCAGAACTACTGGCAAGAGTTTATCCTTTGGTTGAGGACCAAGATTCTTCGATTGAGCGGTCGCTAAATAAGGACCTTCTACCATTCCAACAACACAACCTATTCACAAACATCGATTTGAACGGCGCCATCAGTCGTGCACGAGTCACGAAAATCATCAACACTCAGCATCACATCAAGCGATCTTTTTTTCGTTCGTCAACATACACTGGGCTGGCAACTTTATTTCCTGCACAAGAAGGCGTAGCGGGCGTTATTTGTTTTCATCAGCATGCATCAACGGGTCTTAGTGCCCTAGCCCTTCCCGCTTGGACAGGGAAGTGAGCAGCGACAGGCGTTTTGGTAATCTTTTTTACACATGCACTGGAGTTTTATTTTGCATCCGGTGGCGGTTTTTTTTTTTTACTTTTCTTACACTCATTATGATGAAGGCCCTCGATGGAGCGCCTGTTATGACACTGGATAGGGCATAGAACGGATCTTGCATTGGACGGCGATTATGAACTGGATCGTACTGCACAGCAGGACGTCTCAGAGTTTGATTTCAACGCATATTTAGTTAGAGCATTGCGATAGGATATTGAGCATCAGCTGCTCCTCACATAGTCTAGATCCTCAGCTCTCAGAGCTGGATACTTTTCAAGTATCGACTGGCACTCAGTCAAAGGACAGACACACTCAAACAATACAGTAAAAGTTAGACATACATACTATTGTTTCTTGCCAACGGTAATCTCGGTGTGTATGATCAAGATATCGTCCAGAATTGGGGGCTGGGAGGATGACCGAAACCCATTCCTTGGTTCTGGTTTGGGGTTGTAAGTGGATGAAGTACGGATGGAGGGTTGCATTGCTTTGCGGTCAAGCGCTATCGATTGCTTGTAAGTTGTAACGGCTGCGCAGTCCGTTACATTGATTGATCTTACGGCGGGATACCACCACTCAATTTGGGAGCCTCTCCTACGATACAGGATCAATGTTCACTTGCTTCCTGGTACCTACCTCGCGCCATTGAATTTAGTCTTAAACCGAGTCGAAAACAAGAAGCTACGACCATTAGACGGCCTATTATGGTTATACAGAGGAGATAGGCACAGATATCAAGACCGAAGTATCGAAACCCGTTGGAATATGTCGTCAATATCGAAGTTACTTTGAATAGCATTCTGTCTCCTTGGTCGGTCCGAATCGAATGCTTCGCGTCCATCTAACCACTAATAACAGATACAACCTCAAAGCGAGCCGCGGGCCTATTACCTGCTTGGATTTTATAGCCTCGGCATCGCCCCAATGCGGCAGCAGCGTTCGTTGTTCACAAGTGGAAGCTACCACCTCACTCAATGGTATGTCAAATTATCTCCTAACAGGTGCCAAGTATTCTGGAACTTTGGACTTTGGAGCAGCGTTATCTCCACCATACGCAGGTGAATTTATGTTTATCGCGACCTCTCCACTGTTAGCATCTGGTAGCTGCACCTCAGCAAATTTGAATTGTGTACAAACCAATCGTGTCGCGAAGCCTCCCTCAATGGACGAAGATATGGGCCCGCCGTTCGTAATGTAGTAACGACAAAGCTGACAACGGTACTTGTAAGAGTTTGTGACCAAGCCATCTGTTTTTTTTTTTCCTGGGTTGGGGAAGGTGAACATAAATCTTTTACCCCTATCTCGATTAATTCACAGACACCTGGACTCGTTGATCGATGACGACGTGAACGAGACAGGTTCATCCCATCTCAGTTCCTGGTTCAGTATCGTTGCCCCGTGCAGACACGACCACCCACCAGCGCCCTTCCAAACTCCAAGCAGCGCCAATCATAGTGACCATCTCGAATCTCACGATGGCTTCAACTAAGAAATTCCTTAACCACCCGGGAGCCAAGGAGGCTCCGGCTCATGTCTTGGAGTTCCAGCCGGAGGCGGACCACAACCCTCCCATGCGCGGACTGCCGTTGGTAGCTGCCTCGATGCTGTCAGTACTTCTTTCGTGGATGGTCTCGGACGACAGAGAATCAATAGCCCAAGCATGTGCTCACTAACACATTAACTCATTCCCCAGCATTTCCAACTCGCAATGGCTTCAAAAGTTCATGTGGAGCAATGCCAAATTCGGCCAGGCCAAGTATATGCTCGAACTGAATGGTGAACAATGGAGGGCGCAAGTGAGTTTCTGACCGCTTCACCTTTCTTAATCTTCCTCGTCACTCCTGGGTCTCAACTATCAAGGCTAACACAGTCACATAGCCCAACGTCATCCCCATATCTCCTTCTTCTTCTTCCTCAATCTCTACCCAGTCAATCCTACCCTTCGACCCCTCCCTAACCACCCCTCAACCCCCCACCGTCCCGGGCCGCTTCACCTCCATAGCCGACTACCACGCCGCCTACGCCTCTGGGCAGCTCACGCCGCTACAGGTCATCGACGCGCTCCTCCCTTTGATCCGGCGCGACATCAAGCCCAAGCAGCAGCAGTCCAAGTACGCCGTGGCCTTCATTCAGTCCAAAGTGGACGAGGTGTTGGCCGAGGCCAAGGCCTCGACGGAGCGTTGGCAAGCGGGCAGGCCGTTGGGCATCTTGGATGGCGTGCCGTTTGGCGTGAAAGATGATACCGAGGTGGAGGGATATGTGTCGACCATGGGCATGAAGGTTGATGAGAGGTTTGAGTATTTCAAGAAGCCAGCGACGGAGACGGTGTGGCCGGCGAAGAAGTTGAGAGAGGCCGGGGCGATCATGGTGGGGAAGATGAATCAGCATGAGATTGGAATGGGTGAGTGCATCAGTGGACTTGCTTGTTTGAAGTGAAGAGCGGGAGAGAAAGAAGGGTTAGAAGTACTGATAACAACGACGCAGACACGACGGGTTGCAACCCTGCTACGGGAACGGCTACGAACTGGTACAACACCCAGTACTTTCCTGGAGGCTCGTCATCTGGTGCTGGATCTGCCCTGAGCGCCGGTCTTGTGCCCATCGCTATTGGTACTGATGCCGGTAAGTTGGCCATTTCTACTGCCTTGGCTCCATTACATCAAAAAGCACCCGAACTCACCAACTCAACCCAAACACAGGCGGCAGCATGCGCATCCCGCCAGCCTTCTGCGGCGTCTACGGCCTCAAGCCCACCCACAACCGGGTCGTCAGCCGCAACTCATCCATGTGCGTCGTCGGCCCCATGTGCCCTAACCCATCCGACCTGACCATCGCCTACCGGATCATGGCTCAACCCAACCCGTCGGACCCAGCGCAATCCTCTCTCGCCCCGTCCATCCCCCCCTCGCCCACGGCCAAGAAATACCTCGGCCTCTGCCCCGAATGGATCGCCCTTGCCGATGCGGACGTGCGCACCACCTTCAACCGCGCCATTGAGACGCTCTGCAGCAGCTCTTCCTTGGGCGGCTACGAGCTCGTAACCATCAAGCTGCCCTACCTGCGCGAGGGCCAGCTCGCCCACGCCGCGACCTGCCTGACCGAGGCGGCGGCCGACGCCCGCAACCGCGTCGCCAACCCGGACGACTACCTCAAGCCCCTCAACTACCCGAACCGCATCATGGTGTCGATGGGCGCGCAGACCCCCGCTGCCGACTACCTCCGCTACAACCAGATGCGCCATGTTATTATGCAACACCTCGCGCACCTGTACGAGCAGTACCCCGGTCTGCTGATCGTGACGCCGACTACGCCCATGGCTGGGTGGCCGATTATGCCGGGTGACAATGCGTATGGGTGCAGTGATGGGAATAGGAGCATCAGAAATATGACGTATGTGTGGTATGCTAATACGAGTGGGTGTCCGGCGGTGACGTGCCCCGGAGGGTATGTCGAGGCGCAGCAGGGGGAGGGCAAACTGCCGGTGGGCGTGATGGCGATGGCGGAGTGGGGAGAGGAGGAGAGGCTGTTGGGGTTCGCGAGGGAGATGGAGAGGTATCTTGCTGAGGCGTATGAGGGGGGGAGGCAGAGGCCGAAGGAGTGGGTGGATGTTTTGGGGGTCGCGAAGGGTCAGGTGAAGGTTTATTAGGCTCGGTTTAGCAGCGATTTGGGCGCGCAGGCGTCCATGATGGTCTTGCGAAGAAGAGCTTGGAGGTGTGACGGATATGCTAATAAACTAATATTTGTGTATACGGCTTGACCCGGATCGAAACTGGTTACTTTGCCTTTGACATGATCACGTCCCGCGTCTGCGCGAAAGTTCTCTGCTTGAGCGGTTCCCCTTGTCTTCAACTATGTTATCTGTTATCAACCCGTCGGCGACGAGGACGCACTAGCCGGGTAATTCTGAAGCGGAATGAATCGTTCGAAGGTCGTCGTCAGTCGTCACTCGGGGCCTGCGCCGGCATCGGAGCTCTTTCCGGCCTTCGAACCCTCTCTTTTTCCTTGACCAAGTGTTCCATGGAGGATGTATGAGTGGATTGAGCTGAAAGATGTTTGGAGACGTCTGCCGGGGGCTCTGGAGCGTATGTATGTCACATCGTGCTCGATGGCTAGAACAAAGTCAACTGATGACCATCCGGATGACCCGGATGGACGTATGACGATACGAACGCTAATGGCCGGTCGGCAGTTACGAGCCAACACCGCGGATGCAGGTGAATAAGACGCGAGGATAACTCACGGTTAAAGTAACCGTCTTGTCAGAGAGCTCTCGGTGGGGAAGACCTGCCGCTGTGCTCCGATGCGGACCCGGTGTGGGCGACTGCGGGGGAGTGAGCTTTTTGACCCACAAAAACTCCGTTCTTCCCGCTCTCCTCACCAATTCCCCACCAGTCCGTCCCGTTTCCCGCCCCATTTTCTGCTCATCTGCCCCGGCCGACTCCCCCGGCGCCAAGCCAGTTAAAGCCGTCGCCAAGGTAATACCCGCGGGCCGTATGTACTTATACATGGGCAGCTATCACATCATTACACAACCCCTTCGCATCATTCTTCAGCCTACCTTACATAGCTTGTAAAGACCGCAGAGTTCTCCGACTCTCAACTGCAGCCATAGTTACAACTTTTCTTCAACAATGTCGCAGCTCGCGAGCAGGGCTTCCAACGGCCTCGGCCGGGTCGCTGTTAGGTCCAATGTCTCCCTTCTTCGCGGCGGCAGCCGGTCTGCTCGGCCATACTCCAGCAATGCCAAGGGCAGCTTCAAGGGGCAGTTGACCGAGAGTGTCACGCAGCGCCTGGAGCGTGAGCAGGCTGAGCGCATTCGCATGGCCGCCTACCGAGACTCACGTGCCGGCTGGAACAACTTTTCCCTTACTGGCCGTATGAAGTCCTTGTCAACGCTGCTTTCTTTGATGCTCCATCCAGTATGCTGGATTCAGGCTAACAAATGCGGCAGTCCTCATCTTCACGGCCGGTCTCGGCTGGCTCGTGGGCACCCAGTATCCCAGGGGCGAGATCTCCCCCGATTCTACCCTCCCCCTCGCCAAGACCACTCCCCCAAGACACGATACCGGCAAGGCCAACCTCGAGGCTGCCTGGGCCGACTTTGTCAAGATTGTCGGCCAAGAGAACGTCAGCACTGCCGACTACGACCTTGAGGAGCACTCTAACTCGGACTGGTCTTCCCACCAGCCCGATGCCTCGACCAAGCCCTTCTGCATCGTCTACCCCTCCTCCACCGAGGAGGTGTCCGAGATCATGAAGGTGTGCCATTCCCGCGCCATCCCTGTCGTTGGCTACAGCGGCGGTACTTCGCTCGAGGGCCACTTCTCCCCGACCCGCGGCGGTATCTGCGTCGACTTCCGCCGCATGAACAAGGTTCTGGCTCTGCACAAGGAGGACCTCGACGTGGTTGTCCAGCCTGCCGTCGGCTGGCAGGATCTAAACGAGGACCTGGCCAAGGATAACCTCTTCTTCCCTCCCGACCCGGGCCCGGGCGCCCAGATTGGCGGCATGATCGGCACCGGCTGCAGCGGCACCAACGCCTACCGCTACGGCACCATGCGCGAGTGGGTCTTGTCCCTGACCGTTGTCCTTGCCGACGGCACCGTCATCAAGACCCGCCAGCGCCCCCGCAAGTCGTCCGCCGGCTACGACTTGACCAAGCTCTTCATCGGGTCCGAGGGCACCCTCGGTCTCGTCACCGAAGCCACCCTTAAGCTCACCGTCAAGCCCGCCTCCGAGTCCGTCGCCGTTGCCAGCTTCAAATCCATCCGCGAGGCCGCCTCTTGCGTCGCCTCCGTCGTCGCCAATGGTGTCCCCGTCGCCGCTGTCGAGATCCTGGACGACGACCAGATGCGCATCATCAACCAGGCCGGCGTCACCACCCGCCGTTGGAAGGAGGCCCCCACCATCTTCTTCAAGTTCAGCGGCACCCCCAGCGGCGTCAAGGAGCAGGTCGCCATCGTGCAGGGTCTCTCCAAGCAGACGGGCGGCCAGTCGTTCGAGTTTGCCAGGAATAACGACGAGCAGGCCGAGCTCTGGAGCGCGCGCAAGGAGGCTCTGTGGAGCACCTTCAGCATCAAGAAGCCCGGTGACCACCTCTGGACTGGCGATGTCGCCGTTCCCATGAGCAGGCTCCCTGACATTATCGATCTGACCAAGGACGACCTCAAGAAGAGTGGACTTAAGAGCTCCATTGTCGGCCACGTCGGCGATGGCAATTTCCACATCCTTCTCCTTTACAGCGACGCCGAGAGGAAGCTGGCAGAGGACTGCGTCCACCGCATGGTGAAGCGTGCTGTGGAAATGGAGGGTACTGTTACTGGTGAGCACGGTGTCGGTCTTGTCAAGCGTGATTATCTCCCCCACGAGTTGGGTGAGAGCACCGTTGACACTATGAGAAAGGTGAGCTTAATAACATCTCCCACTACTCACCATAAACTAGTCTCCATTTCAAACCAAGTCAGCCAAGAGTGGAGGAGTGCTAACGCCCCCTTTTCTACGGCCAGATTAAGCAGGCACTGGACCCCAAGTGCATTCTCAACTGCGACAAGGTCGTTCGCATGCAGAAACCTGCGCCTGGCGAGGTTCAGGAGTGGTAAGACTTTAGGATAACACTGCTCGACTGTGGCAAGTGTAAAAAAAGCGTGATATTGACGAAAAGGTGGCTTGTGAGTTGAACGTCCTCACCTGTATGGTTTAAACCAGTTTCCTGTTTATACCCTGATATTCGTATTCCTCCCTTCTCCTAGAACTTTGTATTATTCATTCAGTACCTACTCCTAAATAGATACTACACTTCACGTACCTATAACACGTACCTACTAGGCCTCACTAAACGCAAACGCAAACATTGGGGAGTTTTTCCAAATTCCATGACTGTAAATAGTCGTATTTTCACTTCATCATCTCTTCATATTCCTCACTGGATCATTTCCGTACGCCTTAGCTCCCTCGCTCATATACCACTCAACCCTATTTATCACCTCCAGAGACACATGCCAAAGTCGCTCGCTCACTTGTTCAAATACTTGTCAGCAATGCTCAAGAGACCGCCCAACCCGCTCGAACTCTCCTGCGTCTGCGTGTGCGATGACGTTTGCTGGGAACCGGCGCCCTGGCTCTTGAGGTACATCTTGAGCGCCATCTCGCCCGCCTTCATCACCACACTCTGCTTGTCTGTGCTATCCGACACTTTACCGGCCGACGCCTGCTGGTCGAACAGCTTGGAGGCCTGCGACATGGCCAGGCCAATGAATGCGCTCTGCGACTGGGACTGCGAAGACGAGAAGGAGCCGCTGGTGAACAGCTTGAGCGCCTGCAGGGCCGCGGCGCTGCCCATGCCGCTTGACGTAGCCTCGGGCGTCTCGGAGCTGGGGGAGAAGGCGGAGGAGGAGTAGAAGGTTTTGTGGGCGCGGACGGCTTCTGTTTTTTGGTGGGAAGGGTTGTACGTGGTTAGTAATGAGACGGATGGTGGATTAATCTGGGGTAGAACAGGGCAGGTGTGTGCGCACGCGCGCACAGGAGGCAGGTCTGGACAAAACATGTACTAACCATCCTCATCGATATCCTCCTGAGCAACCTGCTGCTTCTTGGAACTGAGGCTGTTCAAGATGCTAGAGAAGAAGCTCTCGTCCTCCTCGGCGTGGTTGGCCGCGTGGTTGGCCGCGCCACGGAAGTCATCATCCTGTTCGTAGGCATAGCCGCCGCCAGCAGGATAGGCGCCGCCGTGTGCGACTATGTGAAGAAGAATGCGTGAGTTAGAAAAGCGCGAGATTCCGATTATGTGGGAATAAAACATTCTGGGTAGAGGTAATAGGTATGGTATGGTACATTACGTACAGTCACCGCCGCCAGACGGGAATTGTCCGCCAGAGTACTGCTGTTGCTGTTGGTGTCCGCCTGTTGACAAAGGAAAGCGCAAGTTAGCATCATGTCGTCGCGCCGCAGGTCAGGTTCCCAAGGAGGAGGACCAGGACGAGCGGTCAACGAAGCTCTCCAGGAGAGCTGAACTGAGGACTTACCCTGGCTCTGCTGCTTCTTGGCGTCATCATCATCGTCACCAATGACCTTGTCAACGACCTTGCCGATGAATCTATCCATTGTGTCTGTATTTCGGGTGTTGGTCGGTCGGTTGATGCAGAAGTGTATGGTGTATGGTGTGTGTGGTGTGCCTGACAGGAAATGCAAGACAAGATGTACGAGTAGGTAGGTAGGTTGGGAAAAGGTGGAGAAGAGCTACAGAAGTAAGGGGACCTGCTTCTCTGGCTGTAAGAGGGCTAGTGTCAGGTATGTAACAGCTTGCATCGCAGCAAGCGGCAAGGTAAGGTATCAACGCAAGATGAGATCAACCATGTCAACCCAACTGGGCTGTTTGAGCGGCTTCAGGCTGTACACTCAGCATGTAACATTTCCCGTCATGCCTCTTGTCGCTCTCCTGATCTCCCCCTCACACAACACCAGCCCGAAAGGCTAGCTAGGTAGGTAGCTGGGTTCTTATCCGGTCACCTCCTTTCCCTTTGGTTTTTACCCCTCGGGCTTTGGGTCGCCGTAGTAATCAGAAGGTACTTATCTGACTTGACGGGAACTCTAACACAACGGGCCCTGGGCATGACGTTTCTGCGGGGTAGCAAGCGTGGGCAGTGCCCCTTATCGCGCCTATCGATAGGAGGAGAGTCGTTCGTCGTAAGGTGGTGGGCGGTCCGGTACGCTGCGGATGCCCCTGGTTCGGCGAGTCTGGACGCTGGGCCGCTGGAGGAAAGCTGGACCCGTCTGAAACCGGCCCCCTCCTTCGAAGTTGCCCTCCAGCGATTACAGTAGTGTAGAAATCCCTGCTAGTGCAGCCCCTCCTTTCTGCAAATCCGGCCTCATTTGCAAGTGCAAAGAAAAGTTCGTGCCGAACCTGAATTACCTATTTTCATAGACTGGAACCGGAAACTGCGATGAGTTAGCAAAGTATGTGAACCGGATTTGCAGTTACAAGGTCCTTCGTTTTGTTAGAAGAGAACATGTGCACCTCGCGATCACACCGTGGACAGCAGCTTCAAAGTTCCTAGCGTAGAGCTAGGTAGGTACTGCAAGATCCCCTCCAAGTGCAAGAAAGATCGATGAATGCCCGGACTAAGTACTTGCAGTACCAGGGGTCTCTACTGTGACCTAGAGGTATCGAGGGACCAACCATCCCATAGATCCCATCCCCATCTTTTTGATGACTCTGACACAAGTCAAGCCACCGTGATACGGGTGACGTTGGAACGGTGTCCCTTGTAGAACACCAACGGGCATCAACCCGTTGAATCAAGCTCCATTTGGCGCTTTGCATCCCTTCGCACGGGAGCAGGAAAGAGATGAGTGCCAGAGTAGAGGTACCCAGTGGCAGGGTTCGATAAAGTCTGGGTAAAGGCGTTCTGTGGATCTCGGACGTATTGATCCACGTTGGATTTCTAGCCCGCTCTCTACCCGTCTCTTCCGTCTGCACACTCAGGTCTTTTGCTCTAACATCGTGATGTGTTCAGTTTCTGATAAACCTGCTCTCCCTTGACGGTCAGCTTAATTATGGGAAGTGGAGATTCCTCCTAGGATCATGATCTTTCTCGTGATCCCCAGTGTCCCTGCCATTGATGAGATCCCATCGTCTGCCTATTTGAGGAATCTCTTCCTCCAGATAGGTCAGACGTCAAATGCAGCGTAGCCGCCAAGGGCCCAAAAGAACCCAGTAGGCCGAGTTGCTGAACAACAGCGCTCGAAAGGCCGGCGCGATCATTCACCATCACTGCAACATTATACCGTTGGCATTGCCATTAGCAGTCCTTGTGATAACCAAAAAGCCTAGTACCAGCAGGCGGCGGTAGCTCATCATCGATCAAATGCATACGTTGACATGGTGGTATAGTAGCCCCTTTCTTGCATGTGCGCCCTTCCTTCCGTTCATCGCTTGATGAACACACCCGCCAGCAAGGGCGACGCGGCGTAACAAACTCCTCTCCATACCCTCGCCAAACCCAACCGGTTTCCAGTCATATGTCCATCGCATAAAGAAAAATGTGTATCGTAACGATGCCGGGGTTGCGTTTCCTGCCATCTCATCCTACCGTGCACCGCAGCACTACCGGCTCTCCAAGGCACGTTCTCGGAACGGTCCACAAAGCTAGGTAAGCTGCACACGTCAAGACCACTCTACGAACCAGGCAGCACGGAATCGATGCAGTTCTGTTTCTATGGTCCATCCCTTCCTCATGCACTCGCGCCCTTTTCCATGTCTAGGTAGTCCCTCTTCATCAACCCAAAGCAAGGAATGTAAGATCAGTGTCTACTCCCACTTCGTGGCTGCGTTTCCTTTTTCTATAAACTGGTCATTGTTCTTTTTCTCAATCTGTATATAGGCCAATGCGCCGAGCTTGTGCTGCGGATCTTGATAAACGTCGAGATTGTGTTGAGAGCGGTCGAATTCTGTTGCCTAAATATAGCTGCTGGAATCCGTTGTTCATTGCGCATCTTTATCTTCTATCCCATATGATCGCCCATGGGTGTATGGATGTCGTTGTGACCGCCTATACCTCCGCCGTTATTGTTGTTGTTGGCGTTCTTCTTTTTCTCTTTCTTTGCCCAGCGAAGACCGCAGGCATTACATAGTGTCTTGGGTCCACTAGGGCCTTTTCGCCATTCGGGGGAATCGAGCGTACCTGTTTCAGCATCCTTGTCAGCAACTGGTAGTCATCAAGAAGCTATTTTGGGAGCGGGTTATATAATATGGAGAAGGGGTAATTACCGCAGTCGGTGCACACGTATTCCTCTGCAACCTTGATCTTCTTCTTCTTCTCTCCCGTCCGGGGATCTCGGTCTAGGGGAATCGCGATTCCCGCATCACCCTTAATGAGCGTCGGGCTGGCATTACCCGTTGTGATACCATGACTTCTTTCACCCTCCTGGTACTTGAGCCCCGTAAGCATTTCAATCGTGTCTGCATGGTTGCCCTCGTAACGCAACATCTTTTCGCGTATAGAATCCGGCCGGCTTCCGGCAATGCCTTCCAGGTTCTCCCGCGTCAGCGCAATGTTGAGCGACGACGCCGGCTGGCTGGGTGGTGGCATCATAACGTCAGCTTGGGCATTCATGGGAATGTAGAAGGGCGTCATTCCCATCTGGGTCGCGGTATCGTCGGACGGCGTAACATCAGATCGTCCCTCCTGGCTCATTCGCCATGTCCTCTGCGACTCTTCCTGCTCCTCCTGCTCCTCTCTGCGCAGCTCGGCAATCCTGCGCTTCAGTCTCTCGTTCTCAATCTTGTGTTCCAGAAAGGAATCCAACAGACCCGCGTTCTTGGTCGGGTAGGGTCGAGCCATCATGAAAACGGCCTGGCAGAAAGGCGACTGGTTCTGTGGATTGGGTGCAAACTTGGCGGCGGCGATGTGCGCATGACCAACAGTCTCGAAAATGGTCCAGTTTCCATCCTTTTTCCGGAACCGGTAGAACAGTCGCAATTGGGATCCCGTCGCAATGGCTTCGTTCAACTCCGCGGTGAAGACCCCGACGTCATCCGGGTGGATCAGGTCTCTGAGGAACAAGTCAATGATTTCGGGCGGCTTATAGCCGGTCAAGGGCTCTACGCTGGGCGAAACATGCTTGATCCGTCCGTTGGCATCCAGAATGTGTTCCCAGTCCTGGAGCTCTTCGACAACCTTGGCGGGCCAATTGCGGCGCTTGGTAAATTCGGTCAGGGTGCTCCCGCCGCCCGACGAAGGGCCGCCCGAAGGTCCGGAGGTGGTGGTGGTAGGCGTGGCGATCATCGGTCCGGCGCTGGACATGCTGGTCGCAATAAGGTCGTCGGGGGAAAATAGCTGGTCGGGTGCCCCGTGACCGCCGCACACCCCAACATGACTGGGCCCTGCATTACCTGCAGGGAGGGGTGGCGGGACCGAGACCGGGGTGAAGGGGTTTGACATGGAATCGCCAACATCGAGACTCATCGACATTCCGTCAAACCCAGGAAACACTGAAGTATCCAGAAGCGACATCATGTCCTGTGGGTCGGAAGTCATCTACAGCTTGAAAGCCAATCAATCGGCGAATCGTTAGCTTGCTCACCATTTTCGTCCAGCAAAGAGAAACAATTTTTTTTTTTTTCTCTCTTGAAAAAAAGGAGAGAAAAAAAAATCTGACGGAAAAGAAAATGCTGCTTGCTGCTGCTTGCTGCTGCTGCGCACCTGCGAGGCTGACATGCCGGTTCCCATGCCGGTTCCCATGCCAGTTTCCATACCGGATCCCATCCCCATGGCTCCAAAGCCATACATGCTGGATCCAGGGGGAGGCTGTCCGTGAGACATTGTTCTGGCGGTTGTAGTAGTGCGGATCGTAGTGGTGAGGCGGCGAGATTGCGGCAAGCTGACAAGTGCAGGTGTAGACGGCGGCGGCGCATCGAAGAAGGCCTTCGTTTTCGAATGGAGGAGGGGGGGTGGGAACTGAAGTATTAACGGCTGCTGTTGTTCAATGTTGCCGCTGCTGCTCGTGCTGCTGCTGCTTCCTGGTGCTTCCTGCCTTTTCGGCGGTGGAGGAGCTTAAGAAGGAGCCCGCTTTGAATGGGCTACTAACAGCAACACAAGCGCGCGATTCGTTGGCTTTGGTCAGGTTAGTCCCCCATGCGATATTGCTGTGTAATAGTTTTCTGCATCTGACTGCCGCCGTTTTCGAAAGATGGAGTACGGGGCGATATTCCAATCACGTTCCTTTTGATGGGCGGCGTTGTACTGTGGCTTTGTGTGGTCGGTGCTTTTGCTGGATTGAATTCAGGACCATTTCAGGCCGAAATGCAGCAGAGAGCAAAGGTGAAGTGCTGCGAAATCAAGTCGTCGTCAGTTACGTCTGGAACCCGCGGCGCAGCAACGACAAAAGAGGAAGAGGGAAAACGGTATTGTCGATCAAAGAGAACAAGCCCAGTAAGGACGGGAGCGGGGGGGTGGGCGTGTGATGACCTGGGACCTGGAGGTATGCCGCCCTTAACGAGGATGGGATTTCTGGGATGGCAGATGGGAATCTTGAAGGGAGCCGCCAAAAAGTCCCCACTTTCAGACTCAAGCTCGTCAAGGTATTGCTTTGCTGGTGCCGTGCTAGCGGTGGTGGTGGTGGAAGGTCGAGCAGGGCTCTGGTCGAGGGGTCGTGGTTACAGCAGGAAACTTGGTTGTTACCAACTCATAACCGCCACTCTGCTCTGCGGTGCCGTGTCGTAGAGGTAGTAGACTATGGTAGGCCGTGGTTCGAGCTTCCATCCATGGATGTCTCGATGCGTGCGCAGTGAGGAGCTAGTAGGACGAGGTACATGGATACGTATTGGAAGAAGCGGTGGCATTGGACTGGCCAGGCCTGACAGACAACCAAGATATTGTCACGTCTGTCTTCTCTTGGTTCGCCTGCTATCAGTGGTCAGATCTAATGGTACCGTGCGGCCTGTTTCTATAAATCACGTTGTAGACGTTGTAGTGTAGTGTACAGTTGGGAGGGATGAGCTTGGGCTGAGCACTCAGTATACTACTACTATGTACATATGCACATACACAACAACATCCTTTAATCTTTATTGGTCCGAAGCAGCTACTGCTGGATGGGAAGCGATATGGAAGATACTAACCGCAAATCGGCTCAAGTTACCGCGATCAAGGAAAGCTCAGGGACTGATTCGAAACCAGAAAGCCATACCAAGGAACCGGGAACGGTACCGTTGGTTGTCACTCGTCACTCGTCCCTCAGCTACTTCAGATGGAAGAAGGGGTTGCGGCGTTCTTTGTGATACCTACCTCGGCTTCCGTCAGCGAGATCTATGAGCCAGTGCACGTGTACGCACGCAGCCTCATTCCATGTTCCTAGCATTCTCTCTCTACCTCTATCCCCCTTTCCCTTTTTATATATATCTTATTTTGTTGCCCTGCGCGCATACCTCATAATCTCAGAGTACATAGTACCATAGTATGCGACGGTCTCTGCTGGTCGCGTCTCCTCAACTCTGACCCAAAAGGATGCGGCTCTCCCCATTGCGTGGCCCCTCGGCCCTTTAAGACCCCCTTCTCTGGGCTGGGCTTCCCTGCCACCTACTTCGGCTTTGTCACCGGTCACGGTAATTGGTAAACTCCGACCATCGCTAATCGTGGGTGGGCATAGCGCCCAAACCAAACACCTCGCGAGCACGCTCGGCGGCTCGGGAATACCTGGCTCGTGGTTGTCGGGAGAGCCACCGTCTGCAATGGTTAGGGACTCTTGAAAACCGCTGCCAAAATGCCGAAGCGATTGTCCAGAATATCAAAACGCTTCTGGACAACCGACATCCAAAACATCCATTTAAGTGGAGTTTTTCTGCTTCACTGTGCCGTTTTGCATCCACAGCCGGACAAAAAGGTCCGGACCCTTGTTTGACTTGCCCTTTTCGACCCTCTCACTGGGCAAAAAAAGTAAATGGAAAAAAGGAAAACACGCGCAGCGGCGGTCACTGGTGGAGCCACTCATCGTCTCCTTGCAGAGCGGCGGGGATTCCCTTCTCCAGATACATTAGTGTAGAGCTAGAGCCATCCGCTCCACTTGTACGCGCACATGCCAAGGCTTGGCAGCTCTCGGCAGTCATCGGCTTCATCTGCTTTCGGCAACCGATCGCTTGGCGGCTTGGCAGAGCATGTTTTTGCAGCAACATCGGTTCGCCTGGCAGCTGCGAGGAAGGTTGTTGCCAGAGGCAGGCAGATACACACTTGGCAGACTCGATCCCGTGAATACGTGCAGTTCGTGTTATCGCTGCCTGGTCCCATGCTCCATCAGACGCCGCAAACCCGCGACTGCAACGCGTCCAAGATCGACAAGTTCGCGACTTCATTCCCTACCTACTTTTATCGTCGAAGGGACCTCACGAGCCTCACTCGGAGGACGTCCATCGAAAAAGGCGAGGCACGCCGCATGAGCTCCCTCACAGCGGCCCTGTCCAGCAGACCCATCCGTTGAAAAATTGCCCAACATGTCCAAGCTCGAGAAAATGTCCATCTTGGGCGTGCGCTCCTTTGGGCCACGTCACCCAGAGGCCATCGCTTTCAACACCCCATTAACCCTCATCGTCGGTTACAATGGCTCGGGCAAGACCACCATTATCGAATGTCTCAAATACGCTACTACTGGCGAGCTTCCGCCCAACAGCAAAAGCGGGGCTTTCATCCACGACCCTAACGTGAGTGCCAATGTCGACTGTCCCTGGCTGTAGGAAGACTCTGGCTAAGCGGTGACATGTTGTAGCTCGTTGGCGAGAAAGATGTACAAGCTCAGATCAAGCTTTCCTTCCGCTCCATTGTTGGTGAATCCTTCGTCGTGACTCGAAACGTGCAGTTGGCCGTCACGAAGACCTCAAGTAAACAAAAGACCCTCGAAGGAAGTCTTCTGTTACGCGCCAATGGCGATCGCCAAGTATTGTCTACCAGAGTAGTGGATCTCAACAAGCTCGTTCCCGAGAAGCTGGGCGTTTCACCAGCTGTCCTAGATGCGGTTATCTTTTGCCATCAGGATGAGTCCCTCTGGCCCATGAGCGCGGGGGCTGACCTGAAAAGGAGGTTCGATGAAATCTTTGAGGCCAAAAAGTACGCCAAAGTCATCGATAATATCAAGCTTCTTCGAAAGTCCAAGGGCGAAGAGCTTCGACTACTCAGGATGCAAGAGGCTCAAGATAAGGAGAACAAGGAGAGGGCGGACAAGGTCGACAGAGAGCTGAATAAGCTTATTCGCGAGCTACAAGAGGATCGCAACAAGTGCGACGAACTGCGAAAACAAATCGAGGATGAGGATGTTCGAATTAAGCAAAAATGGGAGCAGGCCAACAGTTTCCTCAAGATCGTCAACGAGCTACAGACTAAACAGGAGAAACTCGAATACAAAAAGGATGCCATCGCAGAGTTGCGCGAACGCATCGAGGAGAGCACAGAGTCTGATGAATATCTTCGTGACGTTCTCAGCCAGTACGAACAAACTGTTAAACGAATGAACAGCGACCGAGATCAGAAGGTGGCCCAATTTGGCACCCTACAGACGGAGCTCAAGACCGCCCGAGCCAAGCATACCGCTAAGGTGGAGGAGCAGGGAAAGCATCAGTCTGACAAGGACAAATATGACCGCCAACTCGTTTCGCAACGTCAGATGATCCAAGAAGCAGCTGAAAAACACGAGATTCGTGGCTACGACGGTGACTTGGATGACCAGGAGATCAATGCATTTTACGAACGCATCCAGAAAATGCTGCAAGACACAAAACGAGACCTGGAACGTCTACAACGCGAAAATGCCGTCGAACTGGACGCAAAATCCGCCACTATCACGGAGCTAGAGAGCCACAAGGCGTCCCGCATCCGAGACCGGAAGATCTCTTCACAGCGGGTTGCGACACTTCAGAGAGATATTACCAAACTTCAAGGGGAACTGAACAATCTTGATGTTGACGAAGGCGCGGAGGCAGGACTACGGACCGAGATGGAGGGGCTGGAGTCCAAGATCAAGGCAGCGAAAGCTGACAACAGAGTGTCAGAACTTGATTCACAGATCACAAAGCTGAACAACGAGGTCTTGACTCTAGAAGCTCAGGGTGCCCAGCTAAGTCGGGAATTGGTGGAATGCACCAACCTAGCATCCGAACGTGCACAACTCGAACTTCGTAAAAAGCAGCTCACGGAACGGAAGCGAGAACTAGACATTCTGAAGAACACATTCAATCAGCAGCTTACCGATGTTGTCGGAAGAAACTGGACACCGGAAACCATCGAGTCAGATTTTCAAAAAGCCCTTCGACGGCTGAGTGACCGACTATCTGAGCTTAGAAAGACGAAGGATTCGACGCAGCAAGAACTGAAGCAGGTTGAGTACAAGCTTACCACTGCTCGTGAGCAACAAATCAAGTCCGTAAAGGAAAGGGATAGCTGCAAGAAAGACGTTCTCGAAGCCCTGAAGAAGGTGCCGCGTCAAAATAAGCCGGTGACGGAGTCGGTAGATGATTATCCAGATGCTGTCAAAGAAATTGAGAAAGTGTTGAAGGAAACCGACACGGACCTGGAACTCAATATGTATCTGAAAGAGTACTTCCTAAAAGCGAAGGTCAAAGCAGAGGAAAAGCACAAATGCTATCTCTGTGAGCAATCGCTTGGCGACGAGAAAACCATGAAGCGATTGATGAAGAGGATTCAAGATAAGATTGATGACAAAGATAGAGACGAGCTGCTTGAGGATCAAGCCTTGTACGGACGTCATCTTGGAACACTGAGAAGTGTGCGGACGAAGCACGAGACATATGGACGGTTGTGTAAGGAGCTGCCGTCCATGGTCGAAGAAATCAATTCGCTCACGCTTCAGAAGGAAAGACTGGTTCGACAGCTTGAAGACCAGGATGGCGCTTTCAAAATTGCCGAAGAGAAGCGGAATGCGGCGGATGTGCTGAGCAAGAGCGTACTGAAAATTGCGCAGACCGTCAAGGATATTGCGGATTCCGAGAGACACATCGAGAGAGCACAGCAGAATTCGAGCAATCAGGTGCGCAGTGCTGACGAGATTAACGATGACCAAACAACCTGTGCAGAGCATTTAAGAATTGCCCAAGCCAAGTTGACCAAGTCAACCGCCGAACGACAACGGTTGAAGGACCTGGCCGCTCAGCTCGAGGTTGAGAAATTGGAGTTGAGACACAAAGTCACGGAGGCCGTCCAGAAATTAGAACACAAGAAGCGTCTCCAGGACACGATTAAGAATCACAGAGACGAGCAGAGCGAACTTCGCAAAAACATGCAAGACATTGACAAAGAGGTCGAGGGCATCGACCCAGAAATCGCCAGCGCAAGAGCGGCGCTCGAGGAATCTCGGAAGCAGGGCCGTGCTAGAGAGCAGAGGATCGCAGAGGAACGTGATGGACTGGCCACTACGGTGAGCGAGCTCAAGATGATCAACCGCGAAATCCAGGATTATCTTGACCGAGGAGGCCCTGCCAACCTTGCCTCCAACCAGCGGACCATTGCCAGCCTGGAGAGCACCATCGCTGCCCTCGAGAAAGAGATGAAAGACGTCACCATTCAGATCAACAAGCTGAACAAGGAGATCGATAATAGCGACGCCAAGAGGCGCAACATCGCCGACAACCTCACATACCGCAAGAACCTGCGCGAGCGCGATGCTCTCGAGGAAGAAATCGAAGAGCTCGAGTCCCGCAACGCACAAGAGGACTACGACCGTCTCGTCAAGGAAGCGCACTCCCTCGAATTATACCGTGGCAAACTCAACGCCGAACTCCAGCGGCTCATGGGCTCCATGTCCACCAAGGACGAGCAGTTCCGCCGGCTCGATGAGGAGTACGAGATTGAGCTCAAGGGCGCGCGCGCCCGGTACAAAGAGAGCCACATCAAAGTCGAGACGACGAAAGCGGCCATCGAGGACCTCGCACAGGGCAACATGGCGCTCGACCACGCTATCATGCAGTACCACTCGCTCAAGATGGAGGAGATCAACCGGACCATCGCCGACCTCTGGCAGAGCACGTATCAAGGAACCGACATCGACACGATCCAGATTCGGTCCGACATGGAATCGACGGCTTCGGGCGCCACCAACACGCGCCGCGTTTACAATTACCGCGTGTCCATGATCAAGGGCGACACGGAAATGGACATGCGTGGGCGGTGCAGCGCGGGTCAAAAGGTGCTGGCCTGCATTATCATTCGCCTTGCCCTGGCCGAGTCGTTTGGCGCCAATTGTGGGATGATCGCGCTCGACGAGCCGACGACGAATTTGGATAGTGACAATATCCGCAGTCTGGCGGAGAGTTTGCATGCGATCATCAAGGCAAGACGGTCACAGAATAATTTCCAGCTGATCGTGATCACGCATGACGAGGAGTTCTTGAAGCATATGCAGTGTAGCGATTTCTGCGATAGTTTCTTTAGAGTAAAGAGGGATGAGAATCAGAATAGTGTCATTACGAGGGAGAGCATTACGAGGATTTCGGAGTAAGGGAGGTCGATGGTAGGAATGCCCAAGTTTGATATTGAGGGCATCTCAGGGGGCTGGGCTGTACATGTGGCAAAGGTAGAATACTTATGATGTCTAGATTTTTGTTCACTGAGCAGGCGCCTTTCTCTCGGACTGCATATTCAAGTATGTGGGTTCCAATGCCCATGTTTGTTTCACGATCAATTTGGCCGATCCAATTGATTAGCATGAGTTACGTACTGGCCCCAGACGGATTTGCAAGAGGTTTCATCGTAACAAGGATACCGTTAACACGCTGAACGGCTCGGAGTGTTGGTGGGTGTGTTCGGTAGTCCATATATCATATCTGAAATGTCCCATGCCGCTGATACAAGTAGCTAAACTATCAAATCAAGTAAACCAGACATGTCGCTTGTGTCATCCAACAACCTCTTACCTTCCTGATTACTTTCGACTATTATCTTCTACGACTTCGGAAGAGATATGTCCCTCTGTTGAGAGGACCCAACAGAGTCAACGTTCTCTCATACTAGGAAGACTTTGGTTGCTCTTCTTCTCTCGCTTCCGCTTGCTGTTGATTTGACGGCTCCCCTCCTTCCGCTTGCTCCTCCTCTCCTGCTGCAGTCACCTCCTCCTCTTTTGCTGCTTCCGAACCATCAGCTTTTGTGACTTCAGTTGTCGAGCTGCTAGCCTCCGCCGTGTTTGTGCCAGCCGTATCCTCCGTTCGCTGTCTCTTGTGTGTACTGCCGAGCTCCGAATCATCATCACCCTCCGCCTCTCGCTTAGGGCTCGGTGGGACCAAGTTCTCCGCATCGCAGCTGCCGCTCTCTGAAGCGGTGGTGGCCGTCATCGTCGTCGTCGTGGTGCCATCTGCTTGCGCACTCCTAGTAGCTTCTGTTGCTGATGGTGACTGTAACCTCCTACCTACAGCAGCCTCAACGTCAAGCGCACTCATGTCCACTTCGCCCGTATGTGACAAGACAATGCTGCTCCTCGCGCTCTGGGGCCCGGTATCCTCTGGTCCAATCTCCTGCGGACCGCGAGCATGGGGCACCTCCTCTTCCGGCTCCTCCTCATGATCCGAGTTCTCACCCATCACAATGTCTTCGTCCACCGATGAACCTGTAGTAGTAGCAGTAGCTGAAGGACCTTCGCCAGGGGCGGCAGCGCTGAGGGGCGTAGTCTGAGCAGCTGTGTAGCCCTGAGCAGTGTTGTTGTCGTTGTTCCCGCCAGCAACCTGACTAACGGGCACAACGCCCGCGCGCTGTTCCTGCCTGAGCAACTCTCCTTGTGTGACGCCTCGCTGTGGCTGCTGCGAGAGGCCCAGCAGGCCACCGCCAGCTCCGATAGAGGGAATCCCGTTGACCGAGATGGATACCGTCTCTATGCTTCCCATGCCGTTGGGGCCCTCAATCATCTCGGTGCTCTCCTTACGAACCTGCGGACTGACGGAGCTCTGGGCGAAGGTGATGTGGCTGTACTGCTGCGCGAGAGCTCGCTGCTGCTGTTCGTGCTGCGTGTTGGGGTCGGACGCCCCGCTGGCTGATAAGGGTGACGAGCTGCCTGCGTCACTTATGCTTCCGTCGTCGTCACCGCCGTCGCCGTTTGCCCTTCGAGTCAACCACGGGATGGGGGTAAGCAGCGCGCCGCCCAGGGCCTCGTCAGATCCGATATTGTTCGCCGCGGAAAGGCTGGGAGCGCCCTTGTCCAAAGCAGGACCTCCGTTGGACATCATACCGCTCAGGTCTGGGATCGCGGGCGGTAATGGGTATAGGTTTGCTCCACTGGTGACGTGGACAACGCGGTCGAGCGCATTCAGGTAGCCTACTACGCTCCTGTACTGAGGGCGCGGCTTGAGGACCAGCTCGGCGAGGCGCTGAATGGTATGCGGCGGGTAGTCGGGGAAGTTGGCAGTCAGGTGGGATGTAACGCCGTTCAACATTTCGGCCACGGGGACAGGAAGGACTGGCTGTTGTGCCTGGGACACCTCGGTCGTCGCATTGGGGTTTGGCGAGGGCGCTTTGGGCGGCGAGGAAGCAACATGGTCGCCAGCAGGTGGGCGTGGCGCTGAAGTTGGGGCATCGTTCTCCTTGTTGTTGGTCTCTTGCGAACTGAGCGGCGTATCGATCGGGTCGGACGAGGAGGGGAGCGGGGTGAGGAAGCGCGAGGACGAAGGTCGGGCGGGCGGTTGGGACGAAGGAATGTCGGGGATGGGGAATTCAGTGTGGGCGATCTAGAGATGGGGGAACGGGCTAGGTTAGCTGGCTGCCATCGACGACGCGGGGGGGACAATGAAAGCTGTGGCTTTTGCTTGCCTTCTCAATGCGCGAGACTACGATGGGCAACAACTTGGGCCAGCACGAACTGAGATGATTGAACAAAGCCGTCAGTCAGTACAAGGATGCACATGAGATTCAGTCAGCATAGTAACATACTAGTCCATAGAGCCATCCTGGGCGACCCTGGCCAGGATGTCGTCGGCGACTTCAGCATCCATCTCGGACATGATGTCGTTCTTCGGAGGCGTGTTTTGGTCCGTCGTGGATGAAATGTCAAGGTGACAAGGGAATTGCGGTTGCCAGGCGACGCGAACTACAGTGGAGCTTGGCCGCACCGTGTAAGTGGAACCGGTACCAATGCAGCGGTTGTACCAATCGTGCCACTGTCATGACTTTAGTTCCTCGGGCCCTCTACCACCTTACAAAACTTCCTGGTACGTATTGGGTTGGACTGTTTTATTCTGCACAATGATTTGTTACCGGCTGTTAAGCAAGCATATGAATACGTTCCATGAGCATTGAGTTGAGAGAGAACGAGCGGGGAGTGCCCATGTTCTTAGTCTCAACTTCAGTTTGCCCATACAGTCTCAAGTTGGCACTGTGCAAGCTGCTTCATTGGCTGTTTGCCAGTTCGAATGACATTGCAAGTCGCTGTTGAATGACAAGGTCACTGAGTCTCGTCAAAATCAGAATGTGAACATCTTTAGATTCCAGATCTCTTTATGCGTCCCAAAAATGCCCTATGTAGTAATGAAGACATAGCCTTGGCGGCATGGCTGCTACGCCTCCGAGGCTCATGGTTCGGCGTCTCCGCTATGGCATCTCTTGGGTACGTTATAGGTACATTATGGGCGCCGAAGTGACACAAGTGCGGCTGGGGACCTGTCGATGGCACTTCTCGCTGCCAATTCAAACTCAAGTCTGTTACTTTACTGCATATGGAAGGGCGGGGGTGGTTGCAGTCCAGAATCGGGCATACGTTCAATTCATCAGACACGAGTTGGATGTGTGCGTCCAACGTCCTGATAGATCGTCCATCATTTACCGGATTCAATGACCACCATCGTCGACCAGAGCAACATTAACATCCAAAATAGCATCGTGATGGAGCCGCCAACGCAATGACGGACAGTATAACTTGTACACTAGGGCCGGGAGAAGGCTGGCTCGGCTCAATTACTGCACTCCATCGTCATCGGGCTGCATGAAGGTGTGGGACAATGTGGCTCAGCAGCCCTCCTCACGAGTCAAAAAAGGGGAAGGAATGCGGTGGGGCCCTTGGTGACCTTTGTTAGGGGGCTCGGATTTTGGTGTTGCTCTGCGAGACAGAGAGAGCCTAGGCGGGATAGAATGTTCGGTAGCTTGTGTACCTATCAATCAATGTTCACCTCCTTGCATTCGTCGGTTTCCTTGTATGTGTATGATTCCCAGGCCAAGTGTCGTTGGAGACTCCAGCTTACCTAGTTCTAAGCATCTTGAGAAGTCGTGATCTTGGACAGATTTGCTCGCTAAGCGGACTGCTTCGTACCTCTACCGCGTCACTCCACAACATTCAAAAGGAGATGTACAACAGTATGCTTCATGGCTTGGAGCTGAGGTCGGCCACTGAGAATCGTGAAACTATCTGCCTGTACATATAGCACAATCTGACCCTTTTGGCAAGACGGGACGAGCCTGCCGTGCCAACCCAATGTCTCGTGTTAGCGCGTTCAGCAAGCTTTTCAGCGAGCCCTTAACGAGATTAACCCCGGCTTGGCAAGGCACTGCCCCGAGCGCAGCTGAGGCATTCTTGAGAATTGTGCTCCTGTTCTGTAATGTACCTCTTGCGGGCATGGTTGTGACAGCCCGAGAGGCTGATGTGCATTCAGACTTCGGACTTGTATGTACAACATGTGGATGCGCCGCGGCCGCTAGTGCGAGGAAGGGCTGATCGGTGCACATTGCATATTGCACGACAAAGAGAAGAAAAGAAGCCCCTGGCTGAGTGGTGGCTCTCTTTCATCGCTACGAGAGGTTCTCCTGGCTTTGAGGTCAAGCTTAGTTCCTTCCTGTCTGACACTGGCACTCAATCCCGCCGCCGTCTGCCACACACTGTTCCCATATCCGACACTACTTCTAGCCCAGAGCTACTCAATATGAGCACATCCTTGGTGGCCCTGGCAGGTGTCCACAAACCCTGTGGGCTGGCTCCTGCATGCACTGCCGGGCGAAAAAGAACGAGACCCCGGATTTCTAGTCCGTGATGGAGCGATTCCTTAGCTATACACGTGTACCCACCTCCAACAGCAAGCAGTCTTACACGCAGTGTGTAGTGTACAATAATATCCGTCATCCCACCTACACCTAGTCACTCGTTTCTCCTCTTTGATCGATAGTCCTTCGTTTCTTCATTTCTTTCCTTGTCACGCGATCCCCTCCCCGTCCACAGACTGTCCACTCGACCGCGCACTCCAGTCCTGCCTGTCCCCAAACATCGCTTTGCGCTCGACGGGAGATTCTGATTTTCACCCGACGCGCCAGCTCAACGCCTCGACTCAACAATCCGCCGGCCCGGCTGATGCCCCCCCTTGCCTCCCCAAGACCCCCTACCACGTTGGCCTCGCACGTCGCCTGGTTGGGTATAGCTCGGCCTTAAACCACCCCTACGGGACAATCCGCCCTTTAGAAGGAATCTCAGGCGCAACTTGGAAACGAACTCCCTGTCACCCTCGAACACAACTCAACTCCTCCTCGTGTTTCAGAACGGCCACGGCCTCCAACCTGCGAAGCACGATTCCCCTGACAAAGTGACGGCAACCCATTCCGTTGTCGACATCTGCGTCTTTTCATTCGTTTGTCAAATCGTCTCGCCCTGAGCAACACCGGTTGAGGCGCACCCGCCTGTCGCATCGTCGCCGAGCCTCCGCAACATTTCCTGTCCCGCGTCGACCGACGACAAAGAAGCCACTTAGGTTTGGTCTTCCCCGCTGAACCGTTCCCGACGATACACTTTATCCCTTTTCGACATAAGCCGACTTTCTGGTGAACAACGCACAACAGCATCTGCTCGACCTTTCAAATTTACCCCCCCTCCACGGATTTCTGGTCCACGCCGTCCGGCTCCTGTACGGGGAGTCGTCAGAACCGCCCGTCCTGGCTAGCCGCCTAGAGATCCGCCGGTCCTATTTGGCCGGTTCGCACCCAATCCTTAGTTTCGACGCTTCGGATAACGCAGCTCAATACCGCGATACCCTCATGGCTCAGAACATCGCTTCACGCCCCAAGAAGGGCGTCTTTGACTTTCTCGAGTCTAGATGGGCAAAGTTTTTCTTCGCCATTGTCGCTCTACAGGCTATTATTGGTGTAACGTTCGAATCGTGAGTGGCATTTGGTTCCTTCGGTCGTCTCTTGACTAGAAACTAACCGCCAACAGATATATCTTCGGCAGATTTCAGGACAGCCTTGAGGACTACACGACTGGCGAAAATGAGGAACGCGATGCGCAGTACATGACGATACCGACGTTCTTGGCCTTGTTCATCTTCGGTTTCCTCTACGTCCTGTTTCTCACGTGGGATGCCTTGCGCTGGAAGAACACCATTCAGATCATTGGGCTATGCATCGCCAACCTCGCGCTGTTTGTCTATACGATTCTTCAGATCGATCAGATTGATAGATCGATTAGTAAGCTCCAATTGGCCGGTATTTTTCGGCCTCTTGAAGTCCATGAAGCGGTATGGCACGCCTGCGCGCCCTTTCTTTATACCATTCCCCCTGTCATTGGCGTCGCCACTGTTGCTATGAGCGCGTGCGCCTGGCAACTTTATCAGGAGTTTGCGTGGGATATCTTGAAGCAGATTGGTGCCGATTATCGCATGAAGAAGCGATTTCTTCACTATCAGGTTTGTGCCAGATCTTCCCTGCCGTGAAAAAGAGTCCATCAGTTGTTAACAAGCCATTGCCAGATTTTTATCGCATTGCTCAAGTTTGATTTCTTCTTCTTCCTGGGCTTCACTATCCAGTTCCTGGTTGTTGTAACCGGCAAGACAAGCATCGAACTCGGTCTTACCGCTGCCGCGATTCCCGTCACCATTATCATCCTGCTTTGCGCCGCCTTCTTCACGCAGCGCGAAAACCGCGTTGGAATGTACGCAGTTATTCTGCTCTTCTTTGGTGGTCTTGCCTATTTTTTGTTCAAGCTTGTCCGCATCTACTCGAAAAGTCATGGCTGGCATTACACGCCCGTTAAGCGCTCCCTTACCGCGTTCGCCGTTATGACCATCCTCCTGATTCTCATCACCATCGCCAACGCGTTCATCTGCACGAGCAACTTTGGCAATGGACTCAAGACGCACTTGGTCAAGCCCCAGGGTAGGGACCCGGAAAAGGATGACATAAACTCATTCCAGATGACGGATCAGAAACCCAAACTGACGACCCGGATGACCATCGACTGAGTGGGGGAGGCGGAAATAGAGAATAAAGAACGAGACGAGCAAGATGCGACAAAGGAAGCATAAAAGTTGGTTGTGGACTTTTTGAACATCTTTTGGATGCGATTCTTGAGCGGCGAAAGAGTTTCCGTCAGAGCAGGATTATCTGACATGACCATTGCCAATTGATGACATTTACGACCAAATCAAAGGAGGGGAAGGTGTGAAGGAACACCATATGGCATGATATGAATGCGCATAGTTGGAGAGGGAGGGAAACAAAGGTCATTTGCGCGCGTCTCTGGAGAGTTTTTGATATCAAGAGGATTTATTATTGTTTTGGCGGATACCTGGGATGGATAACGCACATCCTAACTTTTTTTTTTCATATTTTATATGTTTCCCCCCTCCCCCCCTTCTTTTCGTTACCTGTTCTTTTCTTCGATGTCTTATTCACACGAGCCTAGAATGGTGTGCGTGATCTGTTTGCAAATGCTTCGAGGGAAAATGAAGCAGAGGCGTTTTACAGTTGCAAACCTTCCATCATATTGAGGGTAAATGGCCAATGGGGGGGCGGAAAGGGCGGTTTACGCCCTTTGCAAATGATTTCTGGGTTACAGATTGCACAAAAAGTCACGAGGTATCCTATTTTGGTCCTTGCCAAGGGTGATTCCCACGTCATCGAAAGACGATGGCATCGCTTCTAGTTAGTGTATATGCATAAGATACCTATTACCATCCATTGATATGGGCTACATTTGCTCCCATGCTTCGTTGCATACCGCTTTGTCCATATGTTGTTTCAGATGTTGTTCCTATGTCAACCCCAATTTTGAGACATACCCTTGAGACATAACCGCTGGCACAGCACGTAGAATCAGAACCTGATGCGTCAAAAGGTTCGGGAGAAACTAATGAGACAGTAATTATGGGGAAGAAAGAGGAAGCTAGAATGCACGTGGGTGGGAAAATGTTCATATGTTTAATGACAAATGGGATGAAAACTAACCCCTCCCCCTCCCATATGATAACATAAGGAGCTGACAGGTGCTAAAGTTTGTACCATCACAACCCTCACGCAAAACACTGCCCAGCCCACGACACTTGGTCGACAGGAGTGGCATAAGGGTCGAGTGGAGACTACTTACGACCTACCATAAAGAGCTGTCTGCTTGGATTCATTGGATCATGTGCTTGCTCGTTTCAGTTGTTTGGTATATATAATACGTAGTTCGCTTTCCTAAGCCACCAAATCCGGGACGTATCGATAAGAGAGTACCTGTACCCTACTGATCCCATACCAGCGCAGCCTTGATTGCATCCTGGAAATCCAGCACCGCCGCCATCCTTCACGACGTAAACAAATCTGTGACGATAGTAATGCGTATGTGCGTGTGCGTGTGCGTGTGCGTGTTGAGATTATGTCTAAGTAGAACCATCCATCTCGTCAATAGCAATAAACTGTCATACCCCCCCTCCGCTGTTCCGGGCTGCATGTGAAAAACAAAACAAAAAGAAAAGGAAAAAACACTCTCAAGTTCAAGATGTGAAGAAAACCTGAGCAAGTTCCTAAAAAAGAAAAAGAAAGAAAAGAAAGCTCTTTACTACAACCATCGTACCACGATGATGGCAATAGCGGGATGCAAAGTGTTGGGGAAGCTCTCCTCAGCTTGTATGGGATCGGGATGGACGCACAGGTTGAAACCGCCGATGACGAGCTTGCGAGGAGGCACTTTGGGCCAGCCTTGGCCTCCCATTCTCACCCAACCGGACCTGCCTGCCAACAAACGTGAGGCCGTCAGACAAGGGTCGTCGTCGTCGTTGTGGAGCTCTCTGGAGGAAATCCAAATTCATGCCACCCAGTGTGGGCGTGGCGAGCCCAAAAATACTATTTCTACTAGTACTACTACTCCCCGTCCACTGCTCCCGAGTTTGAGACAAATCGACATAATGGCCTCCCTAAATCATGATGCGTCTGGCATCCTTCTCCAACCCCTCGGCCGGACAATACGGACACTTGAAGCGCGTTCCCTTCAGCAGCCTCTGCAACGTCTCCTTGGCCAGCACGTGTCCGCAAGGTATCATCATGGGCGGGTTTTGTTCCGTGGTCTGCTCCTTGGAGACCGGACAGACAAAGATGGAATGGTAGAGCATGCGTTCGGGGAGCGGGGTCTCGAAGGCTAGCTCGTTGGTGGTTGTCCACTCGGTTCCCTTGGCTCGGGTGGCTTGTTGGTACTTAATCAGGAGTGGAAGAGCCAGCGCGCCGGCTGTTACGGCCACGTATAAGGGGGATTCGGCTGACAAGCCCAAGAGGCTGCAGAACTCGCGCGTAAAGGACGAGGCCACGTCCGCAAAGGCGGTTTCCGTGGAGAAGATGTGCCTGTAGGGCGACTCGGAAAGGTTGCGAGCGTAGATCTGCGCGTTGGCGAGCTGTTGGATCTCGCCGATGTAGCGGTTGCCGAACCGCCAAAAGTTTTGTTGGGCGTACAAGAGTGCTCCTGCTGTACCGTTGAGCTCGTTGTCGGGCAGGCCGTTGACACGGGGACCCTTGAAGAGCCAGACGTATTGCAGCCTGCTCAGTTCGAACTCGAGGTTGCTGCCGCGGGCTTCGAGCTCGCCCGAGTTGCTCCGGGCCCATTCTATTGCGGAGAGTAGGTTCCGGGACTTGATGTCTTGTAGGATGGTGTACATCTGGGAGAATTTCGCTTCGAGTTCGTGGGATTGGAGGGAGGAGAGGTTCTGGAGCTGTCTGAAGCCCAAACCTGTTGCAGCGCCTTCGAGGGGGCTCATGTACTCGTCTTCGTCATCGTCATCGTCGTCGTCTTCGTCATCATCATCATCATCCCTGTCTTCATCCATTGGCTCGTCATCATAGTTATCGCTCGCGCTCACCTGATCTTGACCATCGGCTACCGCGTTGACGTTTTCAAGAGTTGCCGCGTCCCCCGTTTCTTCTATGAAAGTTGAGGCTACCGAGAACTGTCCCTCACGCAGCAAATGCATAGAAATGGCACGATTTATCAAGGATTCCTGGTCAGCCATGGCGTCATGTGTTGAGGGTAGGTCCTTGAGAGGAAAGTGCTTGTCCAGCGTCTTGCCCAGCTTCCTCTGAGTTGCTGTCACGCCTTTGAGATCGTCGTTTATTTTTTCAAACGTTGATTTGATGGGGTTCTGAATCTTCGTGATGGACATGCTGGCTACGTGTGTGTCCATGCCTGTGCCTCTGTTAGTGTCACTCTCCCATGAGTGACTAGTGCTGAGCATACGTACCACTTTGAACAATTTGGTCCCTCACCGAGGTGAGCATTTCAATGATCTTGTCGACCCTGTCTTCTGTCGCGGACAGACCTGGTGCCCGGTTGAGCCGGTCCAGTTCCTTCTGAAGAGCCTCCATGGCTGTTGTTTGTGCCGTCATGTTATCTAAACTCGTGTGCGTTGCTGTGATGGTATGGAAAAGGAAAGCTGGTCAGACCGGAGTTATCTAGGCCAAGTGAGGGGGAAATGTGCATCATCTACGCGGAAGGTGGCGAGATCAAAGTTCGGAACTGTGTGGCATGGGTAGAGGATGTGGGTAAGATGGGAATAATGAATGTATAGTATAGAAGGTAGTCTGGTGTTTGATTCAAAGGTAAAGTGGAGGATTGGAATGAATGAATGAATGAATGTATTTTTCGACTACGTTCTATTACCGAGAGATAATAAGTCGTATTTACGACGATGGTGTAGTAAAGGTATAAAAAGCGGGGAAAAAGCCTTATAGGGAGGACGGTCGAACCCTATCCTATTTGTACGCTAGAAAAACCCTTATGTATCCTATCCTAATTGGACTATTTATTCTAAACCCCCTAACCCTAGTAGTATATATACTTCTTCGAAAGGAATAAGTACGTCGTCCGGGTCGGGTATTTCAATTCTAATTACCCTTATTCTTCTATAGCCTTATTCTCCTCCTATTATTTAAATCCTTATATATCCTTAATTTTTTAGGGCTTTCATTCTTACAATAAATATAGCGTAATTTATACTAAATACCTATAGGGTATCCGCCGTTATATTAAGGTTACGGTAAGTAACGATTAAGTAAGTAAAAAAGTAGCCTTTTTTTATAAAGTATTATAAATATAGTATTTAAACGCCTTTTAAGGGTAATAGAACTGTTTATAATATAAGTAAAAGTCCTAATATTCTATTCTTTCTTTAATTTATTAGGTGAAGTATAGCCGGGAGAATATAAAATAGGGGTTATATTTATATTAGGGGGGGTCTATAAAGTATTTTAATTTATTAGTAATTTAATAAAATTCTAAGTTAGTTTTTAATAGTAGAATTTATTTCCCTTTTATTTTAAGTAGAAAGGTTATTTTTAATACGAATTATTATTATAGGGCGGGGAGGTAGGGGAGGTAGAATTCGTTAGGGGGTTCTTTGGGGGGTATTTATAAATTTACGAAAGAATATAAGTATAATTATCCTCGGAGGGGGTTATACTTTAATTATTATATAAAAGGATAATTATTTAATAGGGTATATAGGCGGGTTGTAACTTTAATTACCTTTCGTTTTAGGATTCTTATTAGTATAATACCGGATAGTTAGAAGGGGATTTATTTAAAAATAGTATATTAAATAAATATTATTCTATAGAGGGCTTTAGAAATTACTATTTTTAATTCGTAGAATATAAATAAAATATTAGTAAATATTAGTATCCCCTTAATTCCCAATTTATAGAAGTTTAGGAAGAGTATAATTATATTATATATAAGAGTAGGAAGGAGGTATATAATAAAAATATAAGAGATTTAATTAATTCGGACCGCGAGGCCGGTAATTATTATTGCTTTAGGGACTCTATTGCGGATTTAAATAATTAAAGATAATTTTATATTTAAATAGATATTAAATTATTTTATTTCTTTTTATAGGCGGACTTATTTTACTAGAGTATTAATAATTATATAAGCGGAGTTATACTAAATTTTTTTTACGTTTTTACTTTTAGGTAGAAAGTAGAGTACTTCCGTTTTTTTATAATTAATTTTAAAACTTAAGGCTATTATATATTCGTATAGG